TGGGGGTTATACACCAGCAAATCGTGTGCCGGCCAGTGGGAGGTTTATAAACGCTGGCCATGACCTATAGAGGAGACGTCTATTTCGTGCCCGTACTGTATCCGTTTTTCGTGATTGTACTTGTTGGCATGCTATAAGTTTAATTAAGGGCACTCCATATTTTACTTACTGAGTTTATCTCATAGTTTTTCCTTGTCCACCATTTCAGGAAGCGAAACCGAGGACGGGGAAACCATGGGAAGTGACGAGTTAGAAGGCTAGACATATTGTAATTTGATATGAATTTTAGAAACAAATCATGATCTTGTATTTGGAGATTTTATTGGAGACTTATGATATCAGAGAGTTTATAAAATTGATCTTTAGATTTTGATGGTATCAGAGTGTGAATTTGATAAGTTCCGAGCCTTGTGCATTTGTGGGACCTTCTCACAAGTGCACGGCGTCTGTCGCGTCTCGAAATTGGGTTTTGGGGCGTGACACTTTAGCTGAGTGGTGCAGTAACTCAAGAAAAGATTGTGACAAAATATGTTTAAAGGAGACTCCCCCAAATTTTATTTTAAATTGTATTATGAGTTAATTAAAATTATTTTGGTTACAATATTGAAACTATTGTACAATATAGTTGTTGGTAAAAAGTTAGAACTCCATCCTTTTAGGAAAGAGTAAATCGAACTTAGGTGAAATCTTGTTTAATTTCCTAAATTGATATTTTAAATTTTACTTTAATTTTAAATATATTTTATTTTGTCTTATATGATTTCAGGAAAAATTGTCAATTGAATATACTACTAGGCAAGAGGAAAAAGGTTTTAACCCTACAATAACTCATGATGAGTTATTAGTTAGAACAACTAGTGGGGTCCAGAAAGGATAGCTGAAAGGTCTGGACATTCACACACATCCACAGGATATAGGTGTGAGCGCATCTGGATGGGAACCATTCAGGCCACCCATCATAGGACAATCTAGTAGAGTAGATGAATTAGAGCATACTATTGAAGCATTGAAGGCAGATAATGATAGATTTCGACAATCACAGATGACCCTTATAGCAGATAATGAGAGTCTACGATAATCACAGTTGACCCTTGCTGCATAGATGCAACAACTCTACCAGCATTTAGGGTAACCCTAGCGGATACCAGTGGCACTGTTACCCTTAGGACATCATGGGACATGTAGGCTTTTTATATTTGAATTAAACGTTTGTATTTACTCTATATTTGTAGTAGACATTGGAGACTTATATATTTTAGTAAAAACACAAAATTTTCTTTCATTTTATATGCTAAATATCATAAATTATGTAAGAATATTTTCACATTGTCAAATATTTTACTTTAAATATTAATTAAATTCTTTATATATCATAAAAATCAAATTAAATGGACTACTAATATATACGAATGGGTTTTAGTTTGTATAAACTAAAACGAACCAGTTTCCATCCATATATCCATGCGGACTCTCAATTAAAAGATTGAAAGTCTGCATATATATACGGGCCAAAACTGGTCTGATATCTTATATGGACCAGTTTCGGTCCGTATATATATTAAAACTCTCAATCTTTTAATTGAGAGTCTGCGTATATATACAGACCAAAACCAGTCCATATATATATAAAAACTCTCAAGTTTTTAGTTGAGAGTCCTCATAGATATGCGGACCATTTTCGATTCGTATAAAGCATATGGATCAATTTCGGTCCGTATAAAGATATGGATCGGTTTTAGTCTATATATTCATGCGGACACTCAATGAAAAGGTTGAGAGTTTTCATATATACAGACTGAAAATAGTACGTACAATATATAGAACCAGTTTCAATCTGTATATATATGTAAACCCTCAATTAAAAGATTGAGAGCCTGTATGGATATACATACCAAAATCGGTTTGCATATATTATACGAACCGTTTTTGGTCCGAATTATGGCCAACGTGCAGCTTTTTCATCTATTACCTTATCTCATGTCCAATTCATTCTGCTCCCGTTTTGAACCATAGGATTCCAAATGTTTACATGCCAAAGAGGCTAACTTTAACTAAATAAACTCAATATTTCGCATTTGTGGCTCTAGAAGGACACGACGCAACCTTAAAGATAATAACCTTACACTTATACATTTGTGATTTTGCAACGATGTCACTCTGTGCTATCATTAGACGATTTCAAGTGAACTATTGATGGTTATAGGGTTGCAGGGGACTGTAGTGCCGATGTAGATACAATTGGCTTTCGTAACAACGAAATCGAGGCACAAGAGTGTAGTGATGTCCATAAACGAAAAGAATAAAAAAGTGTACTAAGAGAAGCTTCTAGATTATGGGCATATATTTGGACCAAAGACCGTCCAAAAATATATATATGGACCGTATTTTGGTCCGAATATGTTATAATATGCACTTTTTTCACCATATGCCTTATCGCATGCACAATTCATTTTGCTCTTGTTTTGAACCGTAGAATTCCTAATGCTTGTGTGGAAATGTAATTAAAATAATTAACATAATCACTATAAGAATATTATTTTGAGTTAAATATTTAATTGAAGTATTTAATAAATTAAAATTAACAATTAATATAAAATAAATAAAATTTTATAAACATAAAAAGAAAGATTTAACAAAATTTTAATAAGAAATGCACAATATATAAAATATTATTATAGTATTTAATAAATTAAGTTTTAAAAAATTAAATAGAATTCAAAATGTCCTTAAGTGAAAAAAAAGAAAAACTATGAGAGGAGAAACTTCTAGATTCTAGTCCCATATTCGGACCAATTATGGTCCAAAATATGATATACGGACCGTTTTTTATCTGAATATGCCTAGTGTGTAGTTTTTTCACCTGTTGCCTTATCTCACACTCAATTCGTTCCACTCTCATTTCGAACCATAGGATTCCAAATGTTTGCGTGCCAAAGAGACTAACCTTAGCTGAATAATCTCAAGCCTTCGCGTTTATGGCTCTGTAATGACACAACCCAACCTTAAAGCTAATAATCTTGCACTTATATATTTGTGATTTTACAACGATGTCATCCAATGCTACCGTTAGATAATTTTAGGTAGACAACCGATGGTTCCGAGGTTGGGGGGGACTGTAATACCAATGTACACACAATTGGCTTTTTATAACAATGAAATCGGGGCAGAGGGTAGTGATGTCTTTAAATGAAAAAAATAAAAATGTGTACTAAAAGAAGCTTATTGATCCTGGGCATATATTCAAACCAAAGTTTGTCCGAAAATATATATGGACCATATTTGGTCTGAATATAACCAATTCTGATCTTAGTTGATTCTTGTTTTACTATTAAATTTCACATCGATTTTGGTCCGTAAATTAGCGCCGCCAAAATTTCACGAAAAAGTTAAAGCTTTTCATTGGCGGTCAGGGTTGGCGCTCATTTATTTATTTTCAGACCGATTTTGGTTCAAAATTTATGCTTCCAAAATTTCCTTGAAATTTTAAAATTTATTGTTGGTAGCGCAATTTGGCGCTGATTTATTAGTTTCAAACCAATTTAAGTTCATATAATCCCTATATATTACCAACAACCTCCCAACCGTTTCCCCATTTTTCTAATTTCTCTTCTTCCTCTCTTTCTTTTCTTTTCTTTTTGTCGTCCCTTTTTGGTTTTTCTTACTGTTTTCTTTCTGTCCTTCCTCCTTTCTTATTTCCTCTCTTCTTTCTCTCCTCCTTTTATTCTTCTTCCTCT